AAAGGTAGAGTCCGACCCAAAAATTAACCAAAAATGTGTTAATTTATGAGTAAATTGCACCATCGACACACTTTGATATCATCTTCTTTTCAGTAAATATCGAAGCTTGAAAAAATGCTCACGTAGTAGTTGAATAGAGGTCCCGATAAATTGTCTCATGAAAATGAAAAATTGGATGAGAGCATCAATTTCAAGTAGGACTTGTCAAGCTGTTTGATACGTGACCAATATTCAGGCTTTGATATCGACAGAAAGTAAGTCTAGATCAAAGTCTATTGATGGTACAAGTAAGAGCTCATTATATGTATTATAACAGTTGAGTGATCTTTGAGTCAGAAGTACAGAGTGTTCACAACGATTTGAGCGTTTACCGGAACACTCAGTAGCATTGCATATATACAAAATATTAAATTGACTGTCAGAATTTCTTGGAAATTATGAAATGAGGGCGAAAATCACAAAGAGTACCCCTAGAGCATAGATCACTTTCAAAACCATGTAAAAACATTTGATAAATAAGATCTAGAATTATCACTTTCTCCATTATTTTGGCCTAAATACGGCAGTACCTAATCAGATATTCTACTTAGACTGTATCATTTAAAAGTAATTTACAGATTTCTACATTATGAATCTAGCAATATCTTCTATACAGGGAGGGTAACTTATATAGAAGTTAGTAGGGTATGCGCGGGGGAAGGGTGTCCACTTGGCACAAGTGTTCCCTAAGACAGGTTTTACTGTATTGTGCAAAGGACATGAGAACGTTAACATTCAAAGGGAAAACAATCCCCAATATCCAAAACAACATCTAACACCTTCATCCCAGCATTTTGGGATACGATGGATTTAATAAAATGATTAAAAATGTTAATATATGTTATATAAAGATATGTTTGGAATAAATATTTAGAATAGAAAATGGCACATTGGTTGGTAAATCCTAGATGGTAATAATTACTTTGTTAAGCATTGAAGTCGATAGGATAAAATGTCGGATATCATGATGTTGGACGGGAATGTAACCAGCTATGAAGTTTATGTCAGAAAGATTGTTAAGACAAGTTCCACGTGACAGACACCATTAATTACTTTAACCTAAACATAACGTGACCAGAAATATCTTGTCGACACAAATTCTGTTAAAATAATGAATATCTGCAAATATTATGTGTCAAAATGTTTACCAGAAGTTACCGTTGTGGAAACAATTTTGAACAAAAGTTAAACGGATCTCGAATTGTACAGATGGATTGGTTTCTAAAGGAAGGCAATCAGAAAAGTGGAGGGGGTCTCGTCTGTAACTGACAGATTAATAAAATAGAAAGTGACAACGCGTGTAGAAAAATCATAAAATAATTTGCACAATGACGATTTTCGCCTTCGGAATTAGGTCTACACACTAGGCTATAATATCGACTATACGGATAGGATACAGTTATCCTTTTAGCAGATTGCTTCCATTTTAGTCGGTATGTTCTAACATGCCTCATTGCTTTTCCTCATCAATCTTATTTTCTTAAGAATATTTCAAATCTCACTAAAGGTTATTTACAGTACTGACCTTCGATTTTGGTTTATTTCTGTCTTTTCTTCCAAAGTTGTTCAAAATGAAAATTAAGTATCCAGGATTTATTCACTGTCAAATAAAACGAGCCATGAGATTCAGGGTTAGCCGATTTAGGTTTAACGACCGACATTTGGCTGATATATACGATATTCATCACCCTTAACCTTACAGCTAACTAAAATTTGTGAAAAGCGGCTGTCAAATGTAGAAAATGTTACATTGAGTGTACTTGGCATACGCGGTCATGTTCTTTCAAACGGCTCTTCTTTTAAAATGACGCCACGCTTCTATGTACTCTTGTTCGAATCATGTAATCAGAATATTTATATTTGCCAAATATATTTGTTGTCTTGAACTGTGCAGATTGATTCAGTCACAAAATCACTCAGTCTCCTAATCAAATGATTGTCTCCTTCTGTGTAGTTGTTATTTTTGTATAGGCCTGCTAAAATCTCAAAAAACTCCATGATTATTTTCATCACTGTCTTTCGTCTATTGTTATGGTTAACTGACTTTTTGTTTTGGTATGTTATAAGCAGGGACTTTTGTTAAAATACAATCAGAGAAGATGCGTAAGATGTATTGTACATTTGAATGTTTCTGCCCTTTACTTTTAGCAGTGTGCCTTTTTGTCACCAAGGAACCCAAGGAACCCAATTTCATTTTTAATTTGGTTTCCCGATTCTAGGTCAAACATACGTCGCATCCTCGTTTTGATTTCGGTGCAAACAAAATACCACATGAAGAAAGAGGAGGGAAACACCAGAGCTTACAGATGACCGACAAAATTACGCATCTTACTTACCACCTTCGTTTGCACGATTGTTCACTGGCTAGTTTTCAAATATAGAACGTCACGGTGTGATGTTTTAATCGATGCTAGCATATTCCCTATATCTTTCTTTATCTTGATGTGAAATACCAAGGTATGCTATTGGTGAACACGCAAGAAATAAGAATACTATTATCCGTAGCTCTTTTCGAGAAAATTGTGTAAACCACCATTGAATGACGTCATATGTCTTCTATGAACCCTGGGATTTTCCCATTCTTATGAAGAGAAAAACGTACTCGTAAGAGGAATATCCCTTTAAACGTACAAATAAGCCTTTTGATTTAAACCATATTTGCCTACTTCCGAATAAACTCCAAAATCTTGTTTCCAAATTAAAGTATAGGTACATGTATTCCAAAAGAACCATTTCATGTATAAAAAGAAAAGAAAATATGGAAAGAAAAATGGTGGCCTGCACCAAATGTCTCCCAATATGTTGACTGTGACATCATATTTTGTATTTTTATCTAACATACCTCATAAATGATAGTTTCTTATTAGTTTATGTGACATTTATGGCCATTTTATCTGATTATTTAAAACTTCATATGGAAAACCTGATATATCTACATTTACCATCAACTAATATGATTATAAGAGCACTCAAAAATGCAAATACGCATCCGTTCGCCATTTTATAAAAATGACAGCATTTTCCTAAAATAGATTATTATTTTAGTATGATGAAAGATATGGCGTTTGTATCAATATACGGAGTCAGCATCGCATTCTTTTAACATGAAAAATGATAGCTGTTATAAGCATACGGTACAATAAAAGCCTTCCGCATATTTATCATGTTCTTGACTTTGATGACATCAAGCAATAATTATGACTTATATGATCTATTCCCCAAGATTTTCAGCCATGTTCATATTTGCTTCATAAATTACTTTACGTCGTCATTGAACCTCGAGTTTAGCCTAGCATGGATAAATGGATAGATTTATTATATCATTTATATATCAAGATAATAAATTATCATTGCTTAGACAATGCATCAGTGTGGGTGCTCTGGTCGGTGAAAGTCGTTGGTGCTATCATAGAACAAACGCGAGATCTGTAGTGATCAATTATCGTTCTTTATTCAGAAGTTTTAACGGATCTTACAAGATTAATGGTTTTCTCGCGAAGAACCGAAGAACTTGAAAGAGAATTATCGCTCAATGTACTCGTAACCTTGTAAACTCGAAGATCCCTGTAAGACAAGACTTGATACGCGTCTAAAAGTAAAAATCAAGTTTAAGCACAATACATTATGGACTTTACCTTGTTCGCTGTATCCGCGAAGACAGTTTATCTCATTTACCTATACATACCTTACTCAAAAGATTCAGCAACGACAGCTCCACATTAGACAATGTATGAAAGCTGGTTTATTTACTATTGACGATTTTCACAAAATATTTGTAATTGAGGAATAAAAATCAATTTGCAAATATAATTAGGAGTTAAAACACCATCCAAAGAGAATGGGATTCCAATGCTTTTGGAGGGGGTGTTAGGTCTCAGATCCGGTCTAAGTTGGTATTTTAGAGAGTCTCGTGGCAACAGGGGGGTGGCATACTTGGTATTGTACCAAGGCTAGGTTGTCAAGACTATACGTAAATTAGAATAAATGATAAGAAAAGTATCGTTGACAGAAAATCTTGAGCCTTTCTTGTTCATTAAGAAAACAAGATTTCGTTATTGAATTTGTGGCTTAAAATTAAGTGCCTAATGTTGTCTTTGACATAAATTTCGTACTGAAGAGTCGGAATTGAAGAGATAGGTTGGTCCACGGTTGCGCATTGTAATTTGATATTCGCGTGGGGAGTTTTATTCCTGTACCATTTGTCATACCCACTTTTTGTATCGTAAAACTAGAATGACTTGGGAAATAACGAATTAATCTAGCCAACCGAATGATCTCGATGTACAACAATAATTACTAGTTACTTCTGTGACATAACTCCCACGACTTGTTTGCTAATATCCCAAGGCACTTCTTCTCGAATATATCATCACGAATCGTAATTCTGTGTTAAGTTCGAGGATCGCATTCTTGATACACTTGTAGTACTAGTTTTACGAAACAAATTAAGTTAATTTGGTACGGTATTAGATACTATCCGCCTGGCTATGACACGCTACTCTGTTTTTATAATTCCATTACAGTAATTCGAATTTCATGTTTTACATTCCGTCATTTAATTCTCTTTTCCAAGCTAGACGATGGTTTTAGGAAAATAAATGAGGTTCCAAAACAGGTGGCGTGATACAAGATTTGTTTCATATGAGCCTCAGATCATGATGCCTCTCCATATGCATAGTTAGCTATAAGGCAATTGCCTCGCCAAAATTTGACAAAAAAATACTTTTTAAATCTTCCTAAAATTTTAACTTATTGCTTAATTTCTATGTGTACTAGTACAGTATCAATTGATTGCACCAAGTTGTATATTCTGCGTCATTCAACCCTTCTTCAATTTGTTTTCAGAACAGCACACGGCAGCAATTTCCAACGAGTGATTACTGTATAAATCTTGACACTAACTGATTTCATATTTATCTCATTTGTTCCCCCATTAATCGTAGATATGTATATATTTTCAGGTTCTCTCTGTCAAGGTGCCTGCGAGATCCCCGATTGGTTATTCAAGATCATATTCTGGCTAGGCTATTGCAATAGCATGTGTAACCCGATCATCTACGCCGCCTCGAGCCGGGAATTCAAGCGGGCGTTCATCCGTATCTTACACTGCCAGTTCCGGCGTCGTCCCAGACTTCTCGTCCAAGATATGGATTTCAATTCGAGCAGTTCGACTGGGGCGACATCTAACAGTACTATGATGAGATTTGAGACAATACGGAGATTAACTCTTAATTTTAAGAGCAGGCGAGGTAATACCTTTTCCGCGACAATAAAAACGCCTACCTCGAGAAATAAAATCAACAAACAGAAAAGATATTCCTCTAACCGCCACGGTAGCACTCGCCGTATAGAATTAGAATCGCCGTTAGCTTCTCTGAAATTATTACAGGAGAAACGCAAAACACAGCCTGGGACATTTAGCGATGACGATTCAGCGGCCAACGAGATTACAACGGACGATGAAAGATCAGAGGTATCGCTCGATGTTAGTGCAAGCGCCTCTCTCGATCTTCCTAGACGGAATCCCCATGTCCCTAAATCAAAACATTCGTACGGTACCATGCAATCGGGTTCTTTTCATGAGAACTCAACCATGGAGCAATCTGACTTGAACGCAGATAAAATAGTTTATCACGAGGATATAGTCCCCGCTGCTGGTGGTGGGGGAGCGACCATTGGAGTTGACATAAAACCATGTAAACAAAATGATCCCTCAAAACTTGGTCCCAATAATGCGAAACGTCCACAGATTGTTATTTATAAAGCCGATCAAACTGGTGTTAATTGGCTATAACCCAACAGTATATAATATATAACATTTGGTGGATTCGATTGAAAGAAACCTTTTGCGATTATTTGGATAACAGCATTCAGAATCTAACAGAACACATTAAGGAAAATGTAAAACTGAATTGGTAAATCGCCCAAGTTTATTTCAATCAAATCCCCAAATTATTAAATTGTTTTGCATAGGCCCAAAAATGTTGCGAGAAGAGTTCTATGTTTTATGTTTTCAATAAATATCGACTGCATTTGTTGCAGTTATTTAGTAAATAAAATGTTCGCTTCTGTTTCTATTGGAAACCATGAACAACTACATTTTTCTCCAAATGTTTGGGAACCCGACCTTACTCTTGAATGATGTAACCGTCTATTAAAGCTATGTTTAAGATCGTTTTTCCTCAATAACGCAGATGCGAGTAGGTGGCCACCAGGTGGCTCGTTCGGGTCAGATAGCATGGCGGGTATAGGAGAAAGTTCCCTTAAACTTAAATCACATCTGTTTTAATGATTCAATTTTCATATAACCCTTATGTATCTAATAGTTATGCAAACTGAAATATGTCCATTAAAAGAAAATGTTATCTATCCAATACAAGAAAAGATATTTCACTTTTTGTGATTTTGTATCATGGGGTCTATGGGGAATCAACCCGAACAAGAAGTCACATTTTCAAAAAAAATTAAATTTTCTAAGTTGATAAACAATTTTCGAAACCATATTTTAAGATGTACTTTTACATGCAGATTTCAAATATGACATCACTTTGACTGAATTTTGAATTTTTAATGACGTAAATCAAGATTATTTCTACTCGCATCTGGGTTATTGCAAGATCGCATATTAATAGCACTGTGACTGACGATTTATCTAATTCTCATAATCCATTACGAGAGTTGGTGCTACCAACGAGACTTTTGGAGAGGAGTGTATTCAAATGTTTCAACCAATCCGCAAAATCGGCTAGCAAATCCATCACACTTATTTTACAATTTACATCTAAATGTCATTAAAAGGAGACACATCTTGAAAGGTACTTATTTATCTCGGATGGGTGAAAGGGCGCACGTAGGCTTATCCGCTTAAAGTGCCCGATAAAGTATAAAATGCGCATGCGTCCAGGTGTTGATAAACTATAAATAGCGAAAATCCAGGGTTTGTCACCACAAGGTAACCCAGGACGTGTTGAGAGAACAGCTAGTGTTGATATTGAATTTATATGTAGCCAGATAAGTTTCCTTATTGAAATTACATATGGTTATTAGCAATACTTTGTAGGTGCTAAATAATAAAATATTTAGAGTATATATGAGAGAAATTGGTCATTTCGAACCTGTTGAAAAGTTTGTGTTTCTCGGCTACACCGGGGAATTTACTTCCATGAGTACACACATAAATGTGGGGTTCCCCAAGAGGTACGCGACAAGGTGACCTGGCATCAAATGTGCGACTAAATGCTACTATCGACACTGGCGGATTAGGGGGGGGGGGGGCTGGGGGCCCGGCCCCCCCCCCCCCCTCCTTGGGTGGACCCAGAAAAAAATTGGGCCTTCAGGCCCCAAAAAGTGGGCCTTTTTGGTCATTACTGGGCCTTTTAAGGCCTTTTTTTTTAATTTCAGGCCAAATTTTGAAGAAAATGGGCCTCAAATTTGGGCCCACTTTTGGATTTTAGGGGCCCAATTTTTCGCGTAAGCGCGGACGTTTTTTTCTCTGACCTGAAATTTGGGCCCCCCCCCCCCCCCTTGTTGGTTCCTAGATCCGCCCCTGATCGAGAAGATAAAATAACGAATACGACAATAAGTTATTGCATGTGACAATTCCAAGCCTTCATCTCACTGAAGTATTTTGAAGTGAAAATAGGATTTTTGTTTTGATACATGAATTCAGATGAACGTAACTTTATTCTGACAACTAATCAAAACTGAACAAAATTGATTGTACGTAACAGACAATTTATTGTTTTACAATGTTTTGATTGGCTAAACAAATGAAACCAACAAATTATGACATGTGAAATGACAATTTTGAAATGTAAAATTTAAAAGTGACAAACACAACCTCCCTATCCACTCTTTGTGAGCCCTAGTAAATTAGTAATATGTACATGCAGCAGTGGTAGTGTGCAGCTTATTATCACACTACGCTTTGTATTCTAAAGCCTGTTGTTTGTAATAACACTGTTCACTCAACGTATGTTTTGTGTGTGGGCAGTCAACGATAATCATTGTTTTATCCCGGTTATATGACCTCGGCAATTATAACAAAACCGTACTAAACGAAAAAACGCAAATAAGAGAAAGCTTTCACACACATATAAAAAATGAACTAGTCTAATCCGCCAGTATAAACTCTGTGCTATACGTAGCCGGGTCAGGCGCACACTTTAATTAACAACATTATAGACGTGAAGACTTACGTCATGAACAAATATTAGGGAGTTTAAGCTTGCAATGTTTTTCCCAACCTAAACGTGAACGGAAAATAAATAAGCTATGCATTTGTGTGGGCGATTGGTCATACGTATAGGTTGGCGTTTCGATTTTATATGCAAGCTTAAACTGATTAATTCCCAAAGTTGTACCTTCTGGCTGGGCACCTTCATTGTGCGGGAATCGCAGTTAGTGTGATCAGAATGGACCATTTTTTTCTTTATTTTGAAACATAATTAGATTCCATTATACACGACGAATTTCGCCAAATATTTCGACAGTCGAACCCCTTACAGTACAGCCAAGTCTGCAGTAAAGCACATGGCCAATCGTATGAAAAGATGTACTCGTATATAAGGGCGCGTGTGATAATACTATACTCATTTGCAAATAAATATCTAGTATTAACGTTTATTATATTTTCCAAACCCCATGCTTCTTTTCAATGAGTTGAGAAACATAAATACGTATCGATTTGTATCCGATCGAGTGTAATGTGATCATGCAATCTAAAATTGGTGTTTTAGCTTACTTACTTTAACTTTCTTTGGATACATTTAAGACACGTTGTCAACCTGTCAAGAGATGTAGGTCGTTGTGGGTGCGAGCATACCCATCATTGGTCCAATGGTATTTCAATGCTTTCTATATGGTTGCTATGGCAGTGAATCCCCATCTTGAAGGATTGAGCATACCGAATAAATGGAGTGAAGCCAAACCATGTGAATACAAAGTAGTAAGTCGGAAACAGAAAACAACGAGATTAACACATTCATTTTCCTACAAAAGTGAAATCAGTGAAGTGAATTTCCTAAATGACCAAGATTGCAAGAGATACTTTGTGATCATGTCATCATACCCCAGTGGGATGAAAAATAGAAGAAATGTCACTTCGCCCATGACCAGTTCAGTATCACTATATGCAATATGGAAATTAAGTGGCCTGAGGGTGCTTAATCTGAGTCGTATTCATTTCCCATATTGGAAAATAAAACATTCTAACATAATTAGACTTCAATAAACCATCAATTAAATCCACAGTCGATTGCAGTTTTATTTGAACCTTGGGGGTAAAATCAGCTACGTTGTTATTATTCTCTCTCAAGTTCGTCGATGTCCTGTACTCTTGATAAAAATCCAATTTTGCCAATTACACCCTGTCGTACTAAAACACGTCAGTGTATAACAGAACAAATCATATTGTCAAAAACTATCTCTGGACACGATGACACTCATTAAAAAGTCTTGAAATTGAACCCTTGAGGATTTAAAATTGCAGATATGCTTGCAAACAGAAAACGTTACCACTTTTGAAAGTATGATGACGTCATCTTGGAAATATTCAGACTTTTTTATTACATGATGGATGACGATTTTCCTTCGAGGTATAAACAGAGGCAAATAATAAATATTCTTGATTTATTTTGTGACAAAATTCGAATAATACATGCATAACATCCAGCAATACAATACAAAGGTCTCAGTCTTGTTTTTGGTTAATGTTGTATATTCGACGTGACGTATGGGGCGTAACTTTGCCTAAAATTGGTAGATCATAAAAACACAAATCGACAGCGTCAAGAAACGACAAATCCATATTGAAATACTGCTAATGGAGTCATTATGATACATGGAAAGCCAATGTAAGAATCTTATTCATATACCAAACCAATCGATGTTGCGTCCATTTAGGACAAAGACTCAACCTAGCGGTCGCGGTAAAAGGCTCGCATACAAGAACTTTTTCATTAAATCTACCAACAAGTCATCGAGTCCTTGGTTCATATCCTTTAATGACTTCTTTCCGACCACATCGTTTGGCAAATGTTCACAAACAATAAATTCTCGCATCGATGTCCTGACGGACAGAGCTGAAAAAGTCATGGTTTTACCGACAGTGATGATGGTCCGCCTTTGTTCATCAGTTCAACAGGAGGGATATTTAGAAATCAAGCTGCCATCTTTAAACGATGTAGTTAATTCGGAAGCGTTGTACCATCTATAAATCTATAAAGTGATTATTTCCATTGGCTTACATTACATTAAGGAATAAAGAATCCAGGCTGTATTACGTATAAGGTGACACAAAAAAATGCCACCCAGACGGACTATCATCGTACTAAAACCATGACTTTTTTAGCTCTGTCTGTTAGGACATCGATGCGAGGATTTTTTTTTTGTTATTTACTCATAACTATAATTAATTACTATAGATGTTCAGTTAAACAATTCAGTAGTTCAGCCAAAGTAGCATCTTCAAAAGCAAAGCGACCTCGGGTGCATATGGGGAATAAGTTGGACAAGAACAGTAAGACTTATTTGCGACAGACGAGGCAGGTTGCAGAGGATCTAAAGTATTTAAATAGTCAAAAACAGACAAATAGGGCACAATCAAGCCCAATATAAAGTTTGGTATTTCTAATCAAGATGTGGAGTCTATATGCAAAAGACTGGAGGCTTATTAGTAATTAATTAATCCCGAGGATCGGTGAATTGATAATATAATGGATTCACTTGATTGTACTTTAACTTAAGAATGTCAGACATTTTAACCAATACTAACCTATTTACTCAGTAGATCAATTAAAGAGGTCGTATTTGGAAAATGATATCGCTGAGAATATGTTGTACATTATCCGCTCTTCACAATGTTACAAGTATGAAAATCATTTATCTTTTATAATTTTGGCGTTTACCCTAAAATATAAGCTCTCTCGATTAATTTGACACCAGCAGATATAAAATCCATCCATGGTTGACTGCAAAAGACAGCTTTTATGACACATGTTGAGGCGATGGAATGTTTAGGTGGAATCGTGGATAGGTACGGCGGCAATGTTATACGAAATACAGATAGGCAAATTACAGAATGAATCAGTAAAATGTGTAAAAATCAGTAAAATTCAACTGTGAATAAAACTGTTCAGGGAATGCTTCCTCTTTGTACTTTGTTTTTTTTTATCATTGAGAAATTGGCGCAAGTCAAATTTCATTGACTCATGAGAAATGGGCCCTGTGTAGTCAATCTTCATTGACTCGTGAGAAATCGGCCATGTGCAGTCAACCTTCATTGACTCGTGAGAAATCGGCCCTGTGTAGTCAACCTTCATTGACTCGTGAGAAATCGGCCCTGTGTAGTCAACCTTGGAAGGATTGTCAATCTGCTGGTGTCAAATTAATCAAAAGAGGTTACTCTTTAAAAATTCAATGAGGTTTTAGAGATCTTGACCATTTTGTACTTGTAACTTTTTTGGGAAACATATTGTTTAACAAATACATCGAATAGAGTATATGAGTCGAACAAAGGTTTTTGCTCTCTCTAGATACACCTCACTATATAGATACACATGAATGTTTTAGATTCTTTCGAAATCTCGCGTGACTTTTGCACTGAACGAGGTTACCATGCAGAAAAATGCAAAAAAATAAATTATATATTTTTAAACACAACATTTCCACGGGGTTGCATATTATAGAAACCAGGATGTAAATGTCACGTGACTTCAAATCTCGCGCACGATGTGAGATGCACGTTGTTTTTGACATCCTATTCGAGTGTAAATAGATGATGATGCTTGTTTCGAATCATTGTTCAGAGTCGCATCATATGGTTCGACTTTTCACATGGATTGCATATTGTCCAATTTTGATACAAAATAAACTCAATATATTCAATATCCATAGGGGACTATCCTTCTACAAAAGAATAATTCTGACATTGCATTGAACAAATCAATTTTACCTCATTGGATAGAAAATCAATTTTATATGTTTTGAGGTTATATCAATTCTGGCTTAAAAATCCATTTTATGTTAATTTGATGTCATCGTTGGTTTTCAGGAAAAATTCTTGCAAAATCGAGCAAACTCGTCCACCTCGGTTCAATGATGCACTCTATTCATGCATCAATTAAGCAACACTCGTTTACACAGTCGTTCTGTATCCTGATTGCATACATTCATTTGATCTATAACAGCTACACTTTTCTAATTATTTCCGTTTTACCTGTGTGTTCCAAGAATATAATTAATTGTATCCTCTTTAAAGGTATGTTAAATGAAACGTAAGTGACTAGATTGCATTTATTTCACTCTGTGTTGTCAGCAACCCTGATATATTACTTACAGTGAAGTGGAATCTTCAATAAAGTTTCATTTGCCTGGGAATGACACGATATGGGCATTTTATTAATTAGGTACTGGTATACAAAATACAAGGAGGATTGACTCCCAGGATCGAGACTCGATATTTACCAACAATGAAAATGTCGAAATCTCGTTGTTATTTTCTGAAATGATAACCGACTATAAATTCAAAATAAACAGTTCAAAAGATTTGAACCAATATCTAGATCATTTCTTGTGAGTTTTGTAAGTTTCCGTTAGGAAATAAGACCAAAATTCACGATTCAAATGTTGATGTGAACAAAATGGTGGCGTGTGATATCAGAAAAGATCCTTTTTGAACATTTAGGCATATTTGCTTATGCATGCTATATGTCTGGATATCAACGTGTTCGCGAATATACAACAGCATTTGCCTGAAAATAGCGTTGACGTATGGATGTATTTGCCTACACTTGTATGAATACCATTTGTGTGCCTGGGCATGTTATTATAGGCAGTCGTGTAATAGTTCATGCCTGGTCATGTCATTGTTGACTGAACAAGCTGTCATTGCATGTCTAGACGTGAAATATTTAGAACTTAATACTTTCGGAGAAGCAAGGTTATGGTAATGACAGGATTTAACCGGATGCAACATAATTGCTACAACTGGTTTTAAGTGAATGTAATCGACGAACGACTACTAATTAATACTACAAAGGCTGAGTATCTAGTGCATCCGAGTCAATTTATTGAATAAGGAAATTCAAACACTATTTTTCCATTCAAGATCTGTAATTTGATCATAATCCAATTTGAAAACAAAGTGTTCCTCGAGGGATTGATGGGGTCATCGCGATTCGACCCTGGAGTTTTTCGAATTCCATGTCCAATCCCAGCGAGACTAAACTGATTAATTATGAATGATATGTTTCAGTTGAACCTGCAAAATATCTTACAATAAGCTGCACGTTATCACATCTAAAACCATCTAGGTCGTAATTTGCCATCATCAAAGTACTTTATACTAAGCTTGCTTCAGATTTATATCAATTTGGCGCTTGTCTGAGAAACTAAGCTTCATTTATAAAAGACGTTCAGAAATGTCGGCAATGTGTAGCTCTAGGTCAAGATGAAGACGGTATGATCCATACCTAATGCCTATATGAAGGCTGTTAATCTGATGTTACCGATTGTTCTTCCGTGGAATTCATATTCCCGGCGTCCCTTTCTAAATGTCCCTTGAGAGCCCTTTATTCAACCTCCAAACGCAAAGGTTTAGGCGTCATTTACTTTGTTCCTTCCTTCCTTTGTTCATATGCATGCATCCTCTCGTTCGGATGATGGCCTTATTGAGCATGATGAAGTGTACGAATAAGGTTCTTATGAACGAGACCATTGTAACTACCAACTGATATGGAAAAAATAAGCCCAGAGGCCCGGGGCTCAGAGGTCACCCATCCTAACTTGAACTGAACCAATAACCGGACTGGTCGCGAGGCAAGTAACAAAAACACTGAATCCAGGACCGAATCGGCATGGTTTTACATTTTCATTTAATTGCTGTGAATGAATGATTTCTCAACGAGCATTTTTTCTAGGAGTTTAGTCATCTGGTCCACTGCGTTCATAGCTTTCGGCATCTCTCGTTCCTTTGATTTCCGTCATCCGAACATATACTTCGCAATAGATCGTTGAATCTGCCGTGTGAAGGTTCATGATCTAGTACTGTGATTGGGCATCTTTTTTGGAAGGGTTCTCAATTTCACCCATTTCAATAGTAAGGTGACGCAAATATTTTTTGTTAACCCGAGACCATGCTTGGTTTTATTTTGGGTCGCGTTGCATTTCTGAAAATTGCAATTTTGCAAAGACAACCTGTGGTATTATCCATGGTTCCACGCAATTGCAATTTTTGTGGCCATTTCGAATTCAAGTCACTTGACATACTAGACTATCGTATTCTTCAATTTGGATTATTTCGACCTCATCCCACTGTTGTGTGTCGCAAAATTCCATATCGGGCAAAACGATCGCCAAATATCCCAGAAATGATCCAAGTTCGCGTTGTCACCTGTTTTTGCTCATTACATCCTTCAGATGGCAGTAGCGCCAGTCGCCCCCTCCATCAACGTGTCGCAATCTGATTGGAAGACAGGATTGACGATTGCCCCACCCGGAGCGGGTGGTGACGTGTTCAAATTCTCATCCGGTTCGTCCGCTACATCAATATCAACAGTTTCTGTATTTGTGTCACTTCCCTCTGAAGATGTTTTAAGTTTACAAATCCTCATGCAGAGCTTCCGTAAACAGCCACAACAGCAAAGTAAGATAATTGCAAGAACTGCGCAAGATATCGGAATGGCAATTCCGAGTCCATACCAGAACTGTTTTGAGTCTGTTATTGACGCTGTGGTGCTATTAGTGTCAGAAACAACATTTTGAAACACCATTCCTGGAACATAAAAGAATTGTTTTGAATTACAAAGTAAGGTGGTTTCTTTTCCAGCGGGCCTTTACGTATGCTTGTTGTAGGTTGGCATTAGACTGATTAGAGTGTTCCCTGTTTTATGATTTTTCGATAATGAAAATTTTCTAGGCCTCTGATCTCTTCATATTAGAATTGTTTCTCAAATTACCGAAGCAGTGCTCTGGCTCCAGCAGTACTGTATATGATAATTGAGAGGTTAAGCTTTGCATATATAATCGAAACTGAACCTGTACGTATCACTCGACCATATACAAATTCATGTAGCCTTCTCATATAAATAGCCGTTCAAATCCAGTGTTTGTTTAGACTACACCATAGCGTGTAATGATTCTATAGTATGTCATTGATGCGGTTTTATAGCTGGTTTTCTAATACATATTTTAAACGAGCTCGTTTCGTAAGATTTTTGGCGCTAAATCATGCATGACATACATCATCGTGTTCAGCAAGAATTCAACTGTGCATCGAAATCAAAATTGACAGCATAGTGTTCAATAGACACGAGTAAAATGGTTCCCGTTGACCCAACGTCAAATTCCTAAATCTCCCGTTCTAAACCCGAAACTCTGAAGCTGAAAGAGTATCTGAAGTAGACTAAGCGCGCATAAAACTATGAGCGCTCGATACATTCCTTTGTTAATTTTTGTACTTTGCGTTCACGGTTACGTTGTGAAAAACATCGTTAGCTTAACCTCTCCAGTGATGTACTGTAACGAAAACACGATATAATTAATGACCCATTATAAAATCATATCATACAGTACAATGAAAATATCCCAAAATAATGTCGAAACGTACATGTATGTATTCAAAAAGTCCATTCGTCCATTAACAACCTGGAACTATAGGCTAAACATCTCGTCTCAGATAACAACGTGCGACAACATTTAATTTCATTTTCGCATGTTATGAAAGACAGACTGTAATTGTTTTGTACATGAATACATTTGCTCAGATGTAAATGGATAAATAATCTAGAATCTATCTAAATGATGTATCGTTTACGATAATGCTAATAAATAATATCATCTCGTGCTATAAATTAATTAAAACAGACCTTTTGCTTTGCTACTAGCTAATGCGAGTGGCATTTTTTCATCCATCGTCTCTACTCGCCATATTCTTTGTTGACCATGGATCACGATCGTTATCCTAATTGCCGACGGCCTGGCCAAAATCATGTGTCCGTAACGTCCATAAAAATGATATATTAAAGTAATAATTCCGAGGTCTGGTTACTTCTGATGGTGTTGGCTTTGCCGTATTTGTTTCCGGCGTCGCGTCATAATTTTATTTTATGGCCTAGCTGAAGGGTTATCTCCTTGTAAGCAAACACCTTGTAGCGCTATACGTTGATTACAATGTGATCCTCGTTTATTGTGCATTTATACAAAGAGTTACATGAGCCTGTTTCCGCATTATCTGCAGCAATATTTCATAATCTGCGTCGCCGTGAATTACACTCCCCTTGTCACTCTATCGCGGATTAAAGTACATGATTAACAACTGAACAATTTCGCTGTTATGTTTAGCGAAGTAGGTCTACTGATGACACAGTTTCCATGTGCGTTTGGGTTCCTTACTATTACCTACATAATAAAACATGACGCTTCTAAAATGTGCTTGTCACTGCATTAAGATAAATGCTTCTTTTCGTCAGTTTATATAATATTACAATGCGTACGATAGCCCACTACAATGCGTTCGTCGTATCCTTTACTATAAACACTGGTCTGCGGTTGCTACAATGCGTTCGGATCCTTTACTGCGTACGATAATCGATTACAATACGTTTGGATACCTTCCTGAACGTTTCAAGATAAAACGCCTCTGACAATGCGTTTGGTTTTTTCACCTCTGCTGTGTGTTAATTCCTTACTGCTAATTCACCAGAGCCCCTCTTATCTGCTTGTTTGAAAAGCTCCTGAAAGACACCGCGACGTTCTTATTTCATTTGGGGAGAAACACTGCCGTTCTGCCCACGGTGTCTTTGCTTCATTATTTCCCAATCAATGTTACTCTGATGAACTAGTCGATGAATGAATTCGAAGTGAAAAATGTTTGATAGATACCAATTCATCTAATTATGATACCGTATGTGTTTCAGTAGCATAGTATTTGTTGCAATGTGAATGTATCACGCGTTTACAAATATTCAATAAACTAATGTTTTACTTCGTGTCTCGAGCGGTCGGATTATCTCTTGGTGTGATGTTTCCTATTATATTTCTGTAACAAATTATCTCATAAGAAGTGTTTCTTTAGATCTGCAATTTGTAGAATACATGTTTTCTAGTCAAATGACCAATTACGATGTTTAAATCCTGCAGTCGAATATGTTTTGATATTGTACGTCAGTCGTAGGTTGTTACCTCAACGGTTGTTTTTACATCTAATACACTGTGTAATGATGCCAATCTGTGGGCAATCTGGAGCTCCAGAAGTCGATGTTGTATCTCTATAGGCTCCACTAATCCCCTAATCCTAATTTGAAATTATGCACACCTTGTAAATGATTATAAACAGAGTTCTAGGCTCATCTTAAAAAACATTACTACAGTAAGCTGTTTGTTCAGCACATTGTCCTTATGCTATTTCTGTACTGATTGCGTTCCTCGCTCAATTTCTTCTGAGATGACGTAATTGTTAATTGGACTTGTAAGAAAGTATTAAAAATTGTGCTTTTCCCATTTCATTTGTATCCCCTCGCATGCTATCTCATTTTTGTTAATCTACAAAAAGTAGTTGCGTATGTCACTGGATGTCAGTTTAACACGACTTATATCCCAGGCGGATTAATCATGTGCGTTAAATAAGGGTTTATGTTGCCATATTTCTTTAAAGTAACACATTATATCTCCTGTGGTCTTATGTGTATTTGTAGTTGTTTTATTACTATGTATTAGGTTATGATTACATTTCTGACAATATGATCAAAATCGTACTTAATTATTTGGCTCCAAACATGCCAAACAGCGTAGTAACGTAAATTATAATTCGAGGTACAGAAATCCTTCACAACTGATCATTATAAATATAAAGCCGAATTAAATATCATAAAACAGTAGTAAATATTGAATTACTGAAGAATCCATTATATGAAATCAAATTACGATGATGACTTTAGATATAACTATGTCACTGGCACCTTTTACACTGCTGTTCAAAATAGTGAATTATTTACTAAGATAATTTCTATGAAATATTTGTAATTATACAAATTGCAAATTCAAATGTAAAATAAGAGTAACAATGCATTAACATGCAAAATGTCACTACCTGCCATTTGTTTCAGACGCCGAACTCGAGACGCCACTTGCCGTCACAAAAATGGAGACCTTGACAATGCGTCACCACTTTTGATCATAAACTATTTAAATCGGGTATACGATGAATTTACAATCTCGATTCGTCACATCATTTTATTGTTTTTATAAAGCAGTATTTCATTGACAATTCGGTTTATTATCCACTCTGGTCCCAAGTGTAGATTTCTTCATTACTTTTTATGGTACACTGCTGGATATATATCAAATATTCTAAGTCCATTTATTTCCCTCCAGTATATTACTGTATGTCAAAACGGGATAAATAAATTCAGTGGAAGCCATTTTATTCAGGATATTCAAATGATATGACGTTTATTGATTCGAATAAAACCAAAAATTGGAGATTTCGGAGGAGTACCTTCATCCTAGGCAGTATATCCCATAGAAAAGGGAGAATAGTCTTTAGTCTAAGCTTTAACATTGTCGTATTTGTTCTTATCTAGCATAAAACTTCAAAAAGTTCCTGTTTCTGTCTGCACTTTCTTTGTGAATCCTTATTAGAACACCAACAAATATTTCTAGAATGCACTGAGTCCAGGGCTTAAATTAAATCCTTTATTGCAAACTTGATCGACAATATCAAAATGTGTATTTTCGAGAGATAATTACGTCCATGCAAATATAATCATATTGTAGTTAGGATGGTTTTTGGTGATATTTGACAAATGCAGCATTGTCTATAGCGTGCTATCTCCGGATTCGGTTTCACATGCCGATTTTTGGATTGTTCTAAAACTGAAGATGCTCGCAATGAGATGCTTCACAACTTAGCGATGTCGTGAACCTTAACAGAACTATTCTGTGTGTCAGTGAAAGGCCTCTCCAGCTAATATTTTACAGATAATTCAAACGTCTTGCATGGCAATTCTACTACCTTTCTCGTGTACTGTTGTGGAACTTTTAAATATTGATCTTACCACTCCATTTTAGAGTGATGAAAATATTTTTTAGAAATGTGACTTTCCACCGCTGTTTGTGATTTTTTAATAGATACTTTCTAACTTGTCATTGACATTTTAGATGTGGATTGTTTTTGTTGCTTTTGTGTGTTTTTTGTTATTGTCTTAAATTTTTAGATGTGTTTTTGTGTCGTTGTTTTTGGTTAATTTTCACTGTTGTGTTAAATGTTGAATATTTTTGTACTCCATGCTAAATGGGAAATAAAGAGATATAATAAACATCCATGGGAGATTATCTGAAAAATGAAGAAATGTTCCATAATTTTTGACAACGGTGTTTCGGGTTTGGAAATACAACCAGAATCCATGGTTTCAAAATCAAGTATGCCTATGATCCAAATGGAGCGATCGATCGCGATTTAAAAGTCATCAACACGTATAGTAATTCCATAGGAATATCAATATGAAGGGTGTCTTAATTAATTTCAGCGTTATATCGGGCACAACACACGTCTGTATGTCATCCATGTTAATTACAAAATATGATGGATGTGATTTTTGATTTATATAACTACAGACACCAGCGTAAATGTAATTTGGGTAGAGGGTGATATATGCTCCACCTATCGCCGATAAATTGATACAATGATTACACACATGTACACTCTCTTTCTTCTACTCTTTTTTAAATGTTAAGACATGAATATGTAGGGGCCAAATTGATTCTTTTACTGGATGAGATATTCATTCCTAAAGATCACGTTCATTTGAATTGATGGCAGTTGGTTGTATCTTCGTGACAGTCAATTACACTCTGACTCCACATGCTCGTTTGCATTTCAGATTAACGCTAGTATAAGATATATAGAGGGTGACAAAATTACAGTTAAGATTTGCAGTTAATCAACTTTGTCGTTTAGCATTTCAAATACATGAAAAGGGTCCATGATGTAGGTAATGAATTCAAGTTAATGTTAGACCTATAATTCGGTAAGTTACTCCAACCATTGTCGACATTTTAAGATCTTATTTATTCAACTACTGTTATTTGCTTGATCAACGCTCCGTAGTGTAGATCGAACGAATCTGAAGATGACGAATTGACCACAAATTACGAATTAAACTAGTATTTATATGAAAACGTTAACACCCTTGGTATACGCAGCTAACGAAAATTAACCGGTACGGGTCAAAAGCTGGACCGGTACGGGTTAACGGTTTTATTTGAATTTAAAACAGCCATAACTTGCTCAATATTGACTTCCTCGTGTCTAATTTGAAATATATGATGCCTCCCGATGCTTTTAAGTACCCCAATTTTTACAGATTTTTAAACGGACCAAAACTCTCCAAATGCTATTGCCCCGAACTGGTCCGTCTTCTCGCTGCAAGCAGATTGCCCCGAACCGGTCCGTCTTCTCGCTGCAAGCAGGATGAAATTCTTTGTCACAAAGTTTGGCATTTTTTATAAAATCAAACGCGCGTCATTAAAACTCACAAGATGTAAATAGCATGTCATTTACATCATACCTTGATGGGGAAAAATAGATCTTATATGTTAGAAGTACTAAACAAAAGTTATCGTGAAAATGAGACAGTCGTTCTCGAGAGAAAAGAGCATAAATGCGCATTTAGAGAGTTTTGGTCCGTTTAAAAATCTGTAAAAAATTGGGGTACTTAAAAGCATCGGGAAGCATCATATATTTCAAATTAGACACGAGGAAGTCAATATTGAGCAAGTTATGGTTATTTTAAATTCAAATAAAACCGTTAACCCGCACCGGTCCAGCTTTTGACCCGTACCGGTCAATTTTCGTTAGCTGCGTATACCAAAGGTGGTTAATCTTTCTGTTAAATTAGTAGATCACAAACTCGTATATTCTCATTTCCTAAAATCCCAGTCCAAATCCATTACTTGTTCTAGAGAAATCGCTTGTTTTTCTCGAAACGCTCCGTCGATTTAGAACACAATTTTAGAAACGCTCTTACCATTTTGTTTTGATATCATTTTCAGATTATTAGAGAAGAGTTCCGAATCGAATCTATCTCTCAAAAACGTGTTGTACTTGTTAGGCAAATTGAAACGTCCGAACCTGGTGGTGCTAAACGTGCAGCTAGCTGATTTAAGCCTACATTAGATGATGTCATGCTACTTGTGTGCTAAGTCATAAAACTATTGAAAAAAACAAAAAGTTTATATGTGAATTAATCTTTCTTCTTTTGATGCCAAGGGGTATTATAGATCATTTCTTTCTCTTCCTGAAAAGGAAAGGCAAGCTATGTATTTCCTAAACAGATCTAGATTATCGGAGCGTTTCCAGTTCACTGTGTTAACCAGATCAGAGCGTTTCTTGAATATGAGAATGTCATCATTTTTAAGACTTTCGGTCATCAAATCACTATTACGATAATGTATGGTGCGTTGAAGCATTGGAATTTGACTAAAATATACGTTAGTGCTCTAATCTTGGCTCAACTAATCACATGTCTCGACAAAATGGGTTTTGACCGGTAGAATGACAAATACGTTTTTGGATTTTGATAACTATACTGCTTGGTACAGCTCTTCCTAAT